TATATATATAGGGGTTAAAATGAAAGGGGTTTCTGGATCTTTTTTACCCACAGATCCAAACAGTTTGAGAACCCCTGGTGTAGATCTCCTTCCTTCACAACCATTTGTTGTGTTTGTTTTTGTTCAGCAACAAACCAGCTTAATTAGTTTATCAGAAAACTTTAAAAGTGTCTCCTGGATGTTCAGATCTGATCAGGTGCTCTCATCTTGTCTCCTCCACGTTGGGGCTCCGGCCTTTTTGAGCCCAAATTTCAACCCAAACCTGCACCTTCTGGACTTTGCCTCAGTGTTCTGACCCCAGCTGGCTGTATCAGCTTTCAGCATGAGCCTTATTTTAGCTGCTGCACGAATCACAAGTCAGCCTTTTTAATGCTGCAGATCTCTGAGTGAAAATCTCTGTGTCAAACCAAGATGATCAGTCTTTTGAAAAGAGACGCCTCTTCTGAACCCATAAGGGTAATTCTGTTGTTACACAATAACCCATGGGGGGTGAGACCTTTTGGACTATAAATTAAATGCGTAATACAGCATTAAAAAAAGAAAAGCTGTTTGTTTATGTTGCATAACTGCTGCAGCTCATGCAGTGGTGTGAACCTCTCAGCAAGAGAGCGTGAGAGGAAAGTTCTGCTCACACTGCTGAACTCTGGCGAGATTTACAGAAAAAAAGAAAAAGAGAAAAGTTGAGTATCTGCTCTGAGTTGACCTTTGACATCTTGCTGCATCACATCACTCCAAGATCAAGATGTTTTACCCGGATTTTATCATCAAAATAATAATCTGCTTTAACATGAATGAACACAAAGCTTTCTGAGCAGGAAGTGAACAAATTAAATGTTTAGGATGATGTTTTTTTTATTACACGCGCACTTTGATCCTGTTTCTCTTGTTTTAAACATTTTGTTATAAATCAGTAAAAACAACAATTGTGTGCTTCATTTTTTAGTGTACAGGATCACTAAAGTCATCTAAAGTAATCTTTTGTTTTTAATGTTTGTTACTCTTTTATTTTCCTTCTCCAATCATAGGAAGTTGTTCCAAATTAGGGAAGAGTCTGTCTGTGTTCCAGACAGAGACTTGAGAGTCAAGTTTTAGTTTGTGGTGAAGTTTGTGTAGTTGTGAATTTGTGGGAAAAAGACACCATCACTAAGAAGCTGGGTAAACCCTCTCTGGGATGTCTCCAAAATGTTTGGCTTTTAGATCTTTTGGAGACGTTTGAACAACTTTCGACAACTTTTACGCACAGTTTGGGTCCGGGATTTTTTTTACATTTATTTTTTGGGTGGGGGCTTTAGCAGGGGCGTGGTGTGCCTCCGGACAGGCTGATGACTGTGTGGTTCCACTCATGCATGTCCACATATTGTGACAGTCCAGACATGGCTGGAAACGGGAGGCAGCGCGAGCCCCATCATTTCCAGGCCGCGCCCGGAAACTAGCGAGAAGACCATTTTTACGCGCACAACTTCCCGGCTCGCGAACGCGCCTGGAAAGGTGCTTGTGTTTGCGGGACATCGTTTGAAGAAGTTTATTAAGGGTGTGACGGTGGGGGGGTCTGGGGACAGCAGGGAGGGTCGCAGCAGGAGTTCTGCAACAATGGCACCAGTGACGGCGGCTGGATGCGCTTTCCGTGTTTAAGTATGRCGTCTCTGATTTAAAGGTATGACTGACACACACTGAAGATCTACACAAGGGTTTTCACACTTACATGTGAATAAAGCAAACAAAGAGAGGGGTGCTATTTGGTTATTTCAGTTTTACTGAAGCAGAATGAGACAAAACGCCTGACAAAAGCTGCGACGCGTAAAGAGAGACTGGGCACTCTGGCACACTCTGCATTGTTGGCTTTGTCTCTGAACCTGACTCTGTCTGTTCACCTTTGCTCCCAAACGTCTCAAACACCAAAGAAAACCAAACCAAGTTTGTGCAGATTTTTAGGTTTGCCACCTGAAGTCACCACAAGGTCAAACAAAAAACTTTCTGACCCTCTGACTGCAACTGTATTATTTCAACTCTTGCAGTATTTAGTGGGTAAATGCAATAAATACAAAGTTAATTCAGAAAAGAACCCAGTTTTATGGTTTTTGACTGAAAAGTTTCACAAAAAATTGTGCAGGAAGTCAAAAGAGGGGAAGGATTTCTTTTCCTTTTTTATTTTATTTTATTTTTTTGTAATGTTTTGTTTTACTGATGCTTTTCTCTTCCAGGTGTCATACAGTCTGTGARCTCTGGTCGATGGATTTATTATCTTTAAGACAAGAATTTTTCAGTAAGTTTCCTTTCAGATCTATGTTTATCAGCTGCATTTGTTCCAAATTCTTTTTAACTCCATGCTTTGAGAACCCAGCTTCTTAAAACCAGTTCAAACACTGAAACTTTCAGTCGACGACATCAGATTCTGTGAACTTATGTATTTATAAAGCAATATTGCATTCTGACTCTTGATTTTAGCTTCTAAAACACATTATTTT